TACTTACAGCAGGCCATAAATTAAAAATAAAAACGCTTCTGGATTAGTAGACAGAAAAAGCTTCTCCTCTCTCTCTTTTCTGTCTGTAGCTAGTACTCCTATATGCTATTCATCTAGGAAAATTACAGTGTATAGCCTGGTAATAGAGAAATAGAGCCCTGTGAACTGTATGTGGATGGCACTGCAGTGGGTCTCGTGGGATGAGACAGTCATGTCAGAGCTCTACATATTCTAGTGACATAAACTTGCACGTACCTGCACTCTGTAAAATGGACTGCCAAAGCAGATTAATCTCTGAGGCTCCATGTGACACATGGGAATAAAGGAAAAAGCATATATTTGTATTCATCTCTCTGTAGGAGTGCAGCCAAAGACAGAAAACCCCCAGGATTCAGCACTGCAAATGTGAAAAGGTGGCTGTCCCCATGATTTGGACAGGAGGTGATACCCTTTGTTTCACTCTTAAAAAAAATATCCTCTTCTGCTGTGGTTTTGTAGAGCAGCAGGTCTGCAGGAGTGGGGTGACAACAGTGTGTGTGCTTCACAGAATCATAGAATCATCTGGGTTGGAAGGGACCTCCAAGATCATCAAGCCCAACCCTTGATCCAACCCCGCTGTGGTTCCCAGACCATGGCACTGATGCCACATCCAGTCTCAGCTTAAAAACCTCCAGGGACAGAGAATCCACCACTTCCCTGGGCAGCCCATTCCAATGCCTGATTGCCCTCTCTGGAAAGAAATTCTTCCTAATATCCAACCTAACCCTCCCCTGGCACAGCTGAAGACCCAGCCCTCTTGTCTTGCTGAGAGTTGCTTGGGAAAAGAGACCAACCCCCAGCTGGCTCCCCCCTCCTGTCAGGGAGTTGCAGAGAGTGAGGAGGTCTCCCCTGAGCCTCCTCTTCTCCAGGCTGAGCCCCCCCAGCTCCCTCAGCCTCTCCTCACAGCACTTGTGCTCCAGTCCCTTCCCCAGCCTTGTTGCTCTCCTCTGGACCTGCTCCATCCCCTCAATGTCCTTCCTGAGCTGAGGGCCCAGAACTGGACACAGCACTCCAGGGGTGGCCTCACCAGTGCTGAGTCCAGGGCAAGAATCACTTCCCTGGACCTGTTGGCCACACTGTTCCTGATCCAGGTCAGGATGCCATTGGCCTTCTTGGCCACTGGGCACACTCTGGCTCCTGTTCAGCTTCCTGTCACAGCTGGTTCAGAGTGGAGACATTTCTTTATTGTTCTTTAGTGCCCCACAGCAGAGTGCAACAGGACACGAGCCATAAATCCCTGGGGATCTGTGCTGTGGTTTCACAGCACGGGGAGTTGTCTCGTCCTGTCAGACCTGTTATACAGACAGGCGAGTTGGCAGTGTTGTATTTGACAGCCCAGTGGTCTGTTTGCTCCTGAGCTCCAGGCAGGCAAAAGTGGCTGTAAAGGGAACTGCATTCCCCTGTGTTTCCCCTCCTTCTTCGAGATTTAGTTGTCCTTGGGAAACTATGAGTTTTGTCCCTCGGTAGTGCCTTATTACACCCTGATGAAGGTATACACCCCGGGAAAGAGCTTGTGCTACTTCACTGGCTTGGTCAGGGTGGAGGGATAGCTGTGGTTGGTTCCCCTTAATGACACATCTAATGATATCTGCTGAGCCTGGCTCCTGCCAAAAAGCCTCCTGTTCTCAGCAATTCCTGGTCAATCAAATGGAACACACATCTCATTCCTGCTCATTCACACCAGCGGGTCTTATGCCTTTAATTTGTGGCACAATTAAATGTAATGAGAGAGATCAATAGATAACATGCCCATTATTTCGTTCAGAAAATGCCTCTTAAATGAGGTGATTCAGTTCAAATCAGGTACCACTGTAAGCAGCTCTAAGAGGTACCTGAGGTTGAATAGAGCTGTGCTTCCACTTACAAATGTGTGCATCTTTCACATGGAGGGCTGATCATCAGATACTAACTCTAATATAAGTGCTGAGATGTTTTCATCTAGGGAACCCCTATAACCTTGTTAACAACCTCCTAGAAGGAACTCAACCAGTCACAGCCTTTTTGTCTACTCCAAGTCTGTGGTGTCTTGTAGAACTCTTGAGTTTAAGTTTCATATTTCTTCCTCACAGTGCCTGCATGATCCCTCATGAACTCTTAGACATTCTTCCTGTCAGGATTTTGAAAGTCCTTGCACGTTTACTAGAGATCAACTTACCTCTGGACAAACAGTCTCAATGAGTTGAAATTGTTTTTAAGACATTTATGAAATGCTGGGGGCAAATATATAGGTATCTTGTGGTTCTTTGAGAGTTGCTTATTCCCAGATCTCTTGGGAGCTCTGACTCTTGAGGACTTATGTATTAAGTCAACAGGGCCTCCAGTGAAGCGTCTAAACAGCAGCAGAAGAAGGCTTTCTTTTCAGCAGAGCTGTGCAACCTCAACCCCAAAAATACAAGATGAGGCACTTGTGTGATGGCAGAGTGAAGTCTGCACAAAAGACCTGAATTATGAACCTTGCCTGAGACTTTGCCCATCACAGTAACACTCCAGGCACATTTCATAGCAGTCATCTCTGGGCTGTAGCTCTGTCATGAGTCATAAATTGGATCTTTCTTTGGTGCATACATACTTAGATTGCATCAGAAAGGACTGACCCTTTAAGACTGAAAAGTCATAGATAAAAGAATGTGACCTTCTGAAGTGATTTCCAGTGTGACTTATGGATTCTGCAGTATTATTGCAGTTATTCTGCAGCTCAAGAATGAAGGGCAGATGGGTAATGTGAAAACAAAGCAGAAAGCAAAAATGTTTTATTTTTGCTGAACAGTTTTGTTCAGGACACAATAAATTAGTCTGGCAGGTTCTATCTTCCTTCAGCCTGACTTTGTGTAAGTCCTCACATAGATTTTACTTTGTTGTGCATTTATAGGAAATGCATCCCTAAAAAGCTGTTAATTGCCATGTGTTTCCTTCTAGTAGGTGTTTTGATGACAGCTGTGCTAGAACCAGTTCTGTTGTCAGTCTTTTAGGTCTGAAGTGTTGGTGTGAAGGTGCCTTGTCTACATTAAATGCTCTTCCAGCTTCTACCCATGCTAGGTCTTGGCAGGAGCTTGTGTTACCCAGAAACTTGTCTGAATTTCCAAAGTCTTCTATTGACCTTAATTTAATTGCATATTATTATCCCTATTAGAATGAACCATGAAGATAGACCAGAAAAATAAGCATATATACTGCAGTTGATTATCTGAGGCAATAATTTGTGTTGGTAGTATCTTTGTTGCTTTTACTTTAGGAGTTTTCTCTAAAATGGAACACCAGAAGAGATTGTTTAATTAGAGAAGATGTGCTCCAGCTAAAGCAAAAGTGGAAAAAGGTAATATCCCTTGATTTGTTTGCTAGTAGTCAGTTCTCATTGACCCTAGCTGGATTTTCCTGCTATTTGCTGGTATAGCAGCTCCCTTATTAGCTCCAGGGATGGACTGAGCTTTGACTGCATTTGTACAACCACAGACACAAGATACTCTTTGAATTAAGCTGATTTTGGAGACACACTTAGGTATTGACTTACAATTTTCCTTTCCTTAGTGTTTTTTTGGTCGAGTACACAGAGATCCACAAGTAAACAATATTATATATTCCGTCTTTCTCTCTCTTTTCCTGTGTTTTCAGTCAGTTTTCATACCTCCTCTAAATCTTTCATGCCCTTCCTCAGTTGTTTTTCCATCCTTGGAGCCTTCTCCTTAATAGGACAGCCTTTTATTTTTTTACTCTAATTAAGTGATGCCTATTTCACCAACTGATCCTTTTTTTCTCATTCCCTTCCAGCAAACATCCCAAGTCTCTCCTTCACGTGGATAGGCTATGATTGTAGTTTGAGAGATAGGTCATCTCTGAGTCCTTGGCTAGGGGCAGGGAATTAACTGCAAGGTCAGCTTTCTGTTATTGAAACACAACTCTGTATTTGAACATTTAAAGAACAATAGCGGATCCTGAAAAAGTGAGATGGAGGTCACATGTTCCTTAATATAATTGCTAATTAAGTATTATTTCATGCTGTTGTGTTCTGAACAAAAATATAGTTTTCCTAGGCAGTGTGTGAGAGAGCAGAAATATGGACCAAGTTTTGAACACAGAAGGGATGCACTTTCCCTGCTCCAAAGTATTGTCTCCATCACTGATTGCATTGTCAGCTCTTGCAGCTGAAGTCTGATAAGGTTCACTGCTGCAGGAAACCCAGGCAGCTATTTGGCAAAAATATGCAAATGTGTGGGTGGTTGTGTCAGAAGATAAAAATGTGGTAGACAACTTGGATGTGGTGATCCTTTTTTATCACTGGTGTTTGCGAAGAATAAGATGACTAAACAGATTTTCCATTTCTGTTGGTACCAATATAATATGATTTCAACACGGGCACTGAAAATGCAGCAATGTAAAACCAGTATCTGAAGATTCAGCCAAACCCAGTTGTAGTGATTAATGCTTATTATTACTGGCAGTGATTAAAAATAAACAGAAGTCTTTGAAAAATGACAGTTTGGTTTTTTTTAAATTCAGAAAATTAAATAAAGCTGAAATTAAAAGGAAATTTAACCAAAAGCAGTTTTGAAAACATCAGACCCAAACTCTTCACTAGAAACACTTAAGTTCTTTCTCTGGGTCAATCACTCATGGGGACTGTCTGCATGTTTATCTTGGAACTGTATGGACACGGGAATGAAGAACTAGTCTGTACCAGAGGAATGCACACTATAGATGTATCTTTTTTCTTTTTCTCCTTGCCCATTTTCCAAAAAAAATACATAAGCATGAGCAACATTAGCTCTGTCACACTTTCCTTGGAGCAAATGAGCTGCTGTCCTGGTGCTGTTGTTTCTCATCCTGTGTTGAGTCACTGCAGTGCAGACACTTTATCCTGCCCGTGCCTCTGCTGTAAGACCACAGATCATGTTATCACTGTACAAATATAGAATATTAGTACATCTGGAAGGCCAGTCACGCTGCTGGGCTCAAACAGGTCTGGCTGGCCATGAGCTGTGCTACTGCTATTAACAACCTCAGTGTCCCAAACTGAATAACCACAGAGAACCCCCAGGAGCTCTGGACACTCGTGTTCTTTAGTAGTAGGTGAGTGACAGTTTTGCTGATTATTGTGTTTCTTCAGATGTGTGAAAATGGCAGGGAAAGTAGCTGTCATGTCTTTGTTGCTGCTTCTGAGCTGTGGATTTTTTCGTGCTAATGGATATGGGAAAAATAACTGGAGCATGGAGGGTTTCGTCCAAGGTAGTATATTTGGTGGATACCTTTAAAGAGACTAAGATTCACCCCATACAGAGCTCCTCTAAGTAGATTTACGCTTGTGACAAATCCAAAGTTTATATCTTAGGAAAGCTTTCAAGACTCGCTCTGTGACTCAGTATAATAAACCCTTGCTGTTACATCTCAAGGGCATATGCTGGTGTGAGAATAATTTTCAATAAAAAAAATAGTTGAAGAGGTTGGCCATTTATCTTTGCTGTCTGTCAAAATTTACAGTGGAATTTAAAGAGAGCTATAGAACTTCAGTTTCTGTAGGCTACTTACAGCTAATTTAACTGGCATAGGAGATATATAACCTGCTAAATCTTTTGTGAACAAAGTGTATCATTTGAAGTCAAATATTGTCATTGTTGTTGTTGTTGCTACCATAAGTATTTATGTGCTATCACTGATATGTTACTTTTTGTAGGCTAAAAAGGGCTGACCATTGCTCTTCCTCCCAACAGCAGTTAATTGAGCACCATTTCAAGGGTCAGGGGTGGATGTTAATGTTTATTAACCAAAGAGGTAGATCCTATCAAAGAGTTTCACTCACTTTGCTCTTCTAAGGCAGAAGGTGAAGGTGGAGAATTATTCCAAAGAGGATGTCCAGCTGTCCATCCATGCCACCTGTGTCTCCTGTCCATAGGCATGAGACGGTTTTGTGGGAAAGAGTAAAGACACAGATGTGGGGAGAGAAGAGAGCTGATAAAATACATGACTTTGTGGTGGGGTTTGGACCATTTGAGCTAAAGTAGCTTGGTTGCTGGAGTAGCTGAAAGCAGCACTGTCTCTTGCTTATCTGAATTAACTGCCATATCTTCCTAAATCACGGAATTTAACAGCTTGGGAACTGGCTACGAGCATTTTACTCTGTATACAATTAATGATCTTGTGTCTAACAGTGGAAACAGGACAGCTATAGGTCAGAGATAGGTTTTTCTCTCCTTCTGCACTAGAGGCACATGACGGGGTTGGATTCTTAGAACAATGCATGGAAAGTTGCCCCCTGGAAGCAGAAGGAAATGATCAAAATTTTGAGGGTCTTCGATTAATCACAATTAGGACTAATTGGGAGCCTAAAATTTTGATGCTGTCATGCATGTAGATAACTTCAGAAACTGGACCCTCTGAAGGGACACAAAAGGTAGTAGTAGTAATATTGCTTTCTGGGGACGGTTCAGTATCCTTAAGTATCAATATCAATATCAATAATTAAAATAAAAAATAATAAAATAATAATAAATAATAATAAAAATAAAAATAAAAAAAGTCAATGAGATGTGTTAAAAAACTGAAGGGCATGAACAGGTTTGAGAAACCTGAAACTGTAGTGTTATACTTAGTTAATATAATCTAATTATGTATCAAAGTCTTCATGTTTTGTTCAGTGGCAATGAGTGCAAATTTATTTGCTATGGGTCTGTGCATGAGCAGTCCAGTGGAGTCTCTGCAATCAGTTCTTAGCACATGGCCTGCATTTCTCAGGACCCTGCTGTGTACTACCTAAGACAATTGTTTAGACCTTCTGAATACAGCTACACTCATGCAATCAGCACCTTAAGAAATATGTAATACACTTTCGAGTTTACTGTTATTCTTTTGACAAGAAACAGCTTTAAAATACACGCCCATTTCAAATAAATAGTTTTTCTCTCAATCTTAAGAGAACTAGACCTCTCTTCAGCAATACCCAGTGAAAAAAAAAAAAGAATGCATTTATGTTACAGACATCAGTCCAGTGTTTCATTACCTTTACTGTCAGTGGAAGAATAATTAGTAGCTCACTGAAGTACTAGGGGAATACAACTGTAATAAATCCCCTTGCATATGTAACATCTATCATGCTTGATGGCAAACATATTACTGCTACAAGAGTTGAGGAAGTGTGAGGAATATTGTAAATCAGCTACTAATTAATCCATAATTAAAGACCTAATTAATGAATAGCCCTGTGAAAAATTGTCTAAAAATCAAAATGTGAAGACTGCAGTGCTAGAGAGGAACCTTGTTTGTGAGACCGGTTAATTTACATCTAGAATAGGAACTGATTAATGAAAACTGTCAGTAAAACATTGTGCTGCAGCACTGGGCAGAGAGAAATATGCACACAAAAATGTGTGGAAACCAAGCTTAGCCCTTGCCTGTCTCTTTTTAATTTTGTGGTGTTCAAAGTTATTTCTACCTGAAGCATAAGGACTAGGTCTAGAAAAGACATATTTGCTCTTATTTGTTTTGTGTAAACTATGCAAATGTTATCTATTTGTGTATGACAGAGGTTAATGTCAGGTTCTGGTCTTAAACTCCTCTTAAGTCAGAAAACTAAAAAAGATCTTGATTCATCAGAGCATTCAGGATTAAGCTCCATGATATACAAAGACACTAATTTCTGAAATTAACTTCAGTGAAAGTTGGACTAATTAATAGCTTGAGAGTGTCACTGCCTGTCTGTGTTTGTTTATCTGGGAGCCAGCTGGATGAGACTGTGCTCTTGAGAGAGCAAAAGGGAACGTTTCAAACTCCCCAAACATCTGGGCTCACGTCCAGGTGTCAGCACTGCTTTCTCCAGCCCTGGAGCAGCTTGTCCCTTTCTTCTTCTATTTATTCCGTGGTGTAGCTACAATAGCTGGATCTCTGTGGATCCAGGCCTTTGGGAGACTGCCACTGTCATCCCTGGCACTGCCCTGTGTGCCATCACACATGTGCCTGCAGATGTGATCTGAAGCACAGTCTGCCTTGGATCTCTGACCTGAAACTCTTAACTGTCACATCTGCACACTTGGCAAGCTTAGTGACAGAGAAACCACCCAAATTAGCAGGAAGTATAATTCCCTGCTGGCGTAGAGCAGTAAGAGGCTGTTACTGGTAGCAAGACTAGGCAGGGAAGAGCAGCTTCCCATTTTGGAGGCCTCTCCTACTTCCCAAGTGGCACAGGGAAGCTCCACCTCACTTACAAGCTGTGCACAGTTAGTACAATGTACTGGGATATGATGAACACTGTCACAATCCCTATTGCTCTTTCAGTCACAGCATGTTTCTGTAATTTGATCTTGATAACACAAAAAATGTGTTCGGTTGCTATCCAAATGTCTAGTTTCCCTTGAATTATTTAAAGACTTGTGAGGTAAATGACTTGATCATTCTGAACTGCAGTGTGAGTGAGCTTATTTCCTAAGAAATTATTTGCAGGATTGATAGGACATATTTCTCTCACATTTTCCCCTATGTAATCCTGCCAGTAATATTCATTAGATTGCAGCAGATCTCCCACAGTGATTATCTGAATGGAAAAAGGGCCCAAATGAACCAGGCTGTTAAGCAAATGGAAGAAACCAAGCCATTAATAATTTAGTGACTCGTGTAAAAGAGCAAAGGAAAGTACACACAGTGCTGTTATTGAGGGCAACCAGGCACCACATGAAATCTGGAGGGCTGGCAACAGAGACTAACATTGGCTGTACCTGTGGTATCAAAGCTGTGCTGGAGTCTTTCCAGACTCAAGAGAAGACACAGGTCTTGTTCTACAGAATGCACTGTGCACTGTCAGGTTGGCCAGTGTTAACACTTGTGTTCAGAGGAGGTTGAGGTGTAACATAATAAAGCCAATGTAATTTTGGTTTATGACCGGCTGTGTTCAACCCACTGCAGACAAGACAGATAATGTTGGTGAACAGGGAGAAGCCACAGAAGAGTTGGTGGAGTTAATCCTGGCAGGCCACACAGTCAGCACATCTAAGAATGTGAATCTTCTCCTGTGCTCTGCTACTCTTCTGTCCAAAGAAGTCATTGTTTGTCCTTTTTTTTTTTATTTCTCTATTATGCTCCTTGGTGCATCTACACATTGATATATGTCAGGTGCTGTGATGAATGCAGAAAGGCCTCAAACTGTTCTTTCTACAAAGCTGCTGATGCAAAAAGCACTTTTGGTCTCTGGAAGGCCTTCTGTCCAAAATTCAGGGCTGCTTTTAGCTCATGTACTTGTCAGCAGTTTGTTTGAAACCCAGTTGCCCCAGTCCTCCATAATCCCAGGCTGGGTACACCTCCAAAGGTCCTACAAGTCACCATTTCTTCCCTTTATACTAAACCCAGGAGGAAAAGAAAAAAAAAAAAGTTGTCGAGTGCCTGCTCAGGGTTCAAGTGGTAACAAATTCAAGAAGTTTTGGGCTGTGGAAGAATCTGGCTGGTCTGTGGCAGGACTGTAAACAAAGGTTGGAGATATCAGTACTGAAGGGAGCAAGGGCATTGAACGCACAGCACATTAAATCTCTCCAGTTTTACTGAAGAGATTATTTTTGTATAAATTAAATATCTCTGTGTAAAACAAAGAATTGTGTATATTTGGTATCAGAAAGTGTCATGTAGGGTTATTTACTCAGTTTTCCAACTATATTTTAATGGGTATCTGTTGAACACAACACGGTGAACAATTAATTTCCTTACTCCAGAGCAGCCTCCAGGTGACTCTTGGAGAAAAGTAAGTGACCTGTGCAGGCTGTGGTGCTGTGGTTCATTGCATGGAGATTATTCCTGGTGGAAGTTTGATTTTTCTTTTTATCTTAGTTATGTATCCCATCTCTGTATTTAGCTCTACAAGTGTGGAAACAGGTTTCACCCTGGAGTGGAGATTTTGGTGTGTGGTTTTCAAACTCTTATGTGATGAGCCAAAAATTTAAACTCTTGGATTTGTGTTGGTGTCATCATCCCCTCTCCCCCCAGCCTCTTGAGGGTCTCTTTTTGAGGTGATTTAGATCTGATTCTTCAGAGAATGAAGGAAGGGGTTAGTTTGGTGGTCATTTTCAGAGCCAATTCCATGCCTGATTTACCTCCTAAAAAGTAAAATCTCTCCCAGACATGGGGTGTTCAAAAATGTACAGCCAAAATGTGGCAGTTGAAAGCTTCACCTTAGTGGTGTTTGTTCTCCAGGACCTGATCACTCTGTGGTTCATAATGAGCACATAAAAGAGCACAACTTAGAAGACAATGTTTTTGTCAAAAGGATTTCCCACCTCCCCACAACACACTGAAACACCTCAGTGTACAGATGTTACTCTAGTTTAAGTTAATTACAAACATGACTTAAGTGGTGGGTCGACATCTGAAGCATACACATATTTGTAGCAACAGCACAAAAAAGAATAAATGAAAAATAAAAAAGATTATAGACGTCACAAGGCAGATATCTTTTCCATTCTGTTTTCAACTTTCTGAAAAGATTCTGGTTATAGGCCTCCTGAGTACTACTGCTATTTAAAAAAGAAAGTCTGAAGTAGATGCTGGAGAACAGTCTGCATACCTTCAGGTGAATTTATATGATAAAATAAAATAGGTGTTAAAATAAATGATAAAATAAAAATAATCCATGCAGATACTTAGGCAGATGCTTTTACTAGCAATAACACTTAGCATTAATGTTATATCATTTAAATAAAACATACGATGAGTATCATCACTAAGATTTTGGGGTTTTTGCCACTTAATCCTCTGAATGTTTCAGAGTGTCATTATCCTTATACACGTGAGGACTGTGTTTGATTTTAATAGGCCTATCTATACATCCAGTTAAATGAATAAAGTTTCTGCAACACTGTTAAGGAAAGATGTTTTATTCTTTCTGAAACCAGAAATTGGACCCACTTGGTAAGAAGAAGGGTCTCAGTGTTGAGATGGGGCCTCCAGTGGGACAAGTCTGAGAGAGTTGCTTGGTAGGAGAGGGGTGTGGTGAAGGTGCTCCAGTGAAGGCACAGAACTCTGGAATATTGAAATTGAGAAAATCCTGCTGATTGTAGCATCTTGGACTGAAAGTGCCACCGTGGGGGAGACAAAGATCAATTTGTGGTTTAGAATGTATAGAGGGAAAATTAGGGTTGGACTTGATGATCTCAGTGGTCCCTTCCAACCCAACTGATTCTATGATTCTATGATTCTATGATTCTTTGATTCTATGGTTCTATGACACAGCCTCCTGGCTGAGGAAGAGATACAAAGGCTGTGCTGTTCGGAGGGATTTTTAATTCTCTCTCTTCTTAAAAAATCATGAAGAGTGGAAAGAGTGTAACAAAAGGAAATTTCTCTCTGCTGCTAGCACAAGTCTCTCTGGTCACAACCTCTCTTATCGCATTGCCAAATAATGAAATACTTATTAAAAAAGAGCTATTTTAAAAATTTTTAAATTAATTATTTAAATTTTATATTGTTTTAAAATATTTCCTTAAATGTAACGTGTAGCTAGCTGCTTATAAAGGGAATATCTTGCAATAATTAAAAAAAGAAAAGTATCATGAATGGCCAGCTTTGTTTCTGAGCTAATCATAACTGAGAAGATAAGATTAGTTTGGCTACCCAGCATGTTACCTTTTAAGGATATTGGTTAAGGCCTTGTAGATTATTTCCTGGGAGGTGTAAATGGCTCGGGATAAGATTGTTTGCTTTCATAGACAAACACAGAGAACTAGTTTCTTCACACTAGTTTCTCCTTTGTAAACGATATCTTTCCCTTCTTTTTATGTTTCTGAATCCCATTTCCCCTGGAAAGCACTCTACATAAATTGAATACATTACTGAATAGCCTTGCTTTTGTGATCTATCTCACTAATAACTCAAAAGACTGATAAATGTTATAACCATGCATCCTCTAACAAAGTTGTGTTGGTGATCTAAAGCATAATTTAGCAATGTTGAATTACAAAAGATGGGGAATTTGGAAGAGGAAGGGGGCTGCAGTATAGATTTGGGTGAATAATCATATGACTGCTTTGAACAGAGCAGTTGGACTGGGTGACCTCCAGAGGCCCCTTCTAACTTCACTGCTTCGTGGCAATTGGTAAAGTGATAATAGTGATTACCTGTGAAGAACTTAAGTATGGGATAAAACACAGCCAAGTTTCCACTTGAAGGGAAGAAGTTAGGTAGAAGTGTATAATGAGACATTTCTCGACCCAAATTTAACTTCCAACCTGTAACAACAAAAACGACAACAATAACAACAACAGCATCAATAACAATAACAACAGCAATAATAATAATAATAGATTAAAGCAACCACGGTATGTGATGTTGAACATGTACAGCCCCAAGCATTTCTAGAAATGGAAATCATTATTGGTAGTTGCTTCTTCTGTCATAAATTCTTGCCATGTATGAGTAGGTACCCTGAAGAACCCACACTTAAAATCAGATTAGTTGAGTTTTGGCCAGTTTGCCAGGCTCTTTTTTCTGGGCAACATCTCATCATCAGAAAAATGGTAGTGTCTGAGCTTTGGCAAATGCATGCTTGATACTTGCCCATTTTTTAGGCAAGGATATAGGGTAAAGCAACAGCTCTGTGAAGATTGTTAGGTGACCTTTTCAGAGTTGTAGGTGGCAAAAAGCATTCTGTGTTTGTCCTGATGAATATTTCTAAAGCCTGTCACCCTCTAATCTGATCAGGATTTGTGGACTTGCTCCTTCTGAAGAGATTAGTCCTGAGGAGTTATGATGGACACCTCTCACCTCCCACCCAAGTTCGTCCTCTGCTTGTTCTACCACTGAAGAAAATCCCCCAATGCATTGCAGCCTAGTGCAATATGTGAATAAAAGCTGTATGAACTTTTCTAACCTGAGTGTCTAATAAATCAGTGCCTCAATAAAGAACAGATGACTTAACCTGTGAGACAGGAAGGTGAGGAAAAAGTCAAGGAAAAAGAGTACTTTCACAAACTCTGTGTTGATTAAGGCCATCTAGTTTCAATAGAGGTCAAGTGTCCAGCTGCAACTTCACTGTCTGGCAACAAATCAGCTCCTGCAATAGTCCTTCTACCAAAACACACTGCTATAAACTGATCTATTAGAATTAATTAGACCTTACAGAGTGACTGCTGGTCTGCAGTTACTATGAGGGGGGAAGTCCTTGTCACTGGGTTTCTTTCTCTGGTAAGCAGAGGTGAATGTTTTATTTTATGTGGCAAACAGTTCCTGTAAATTATCAGTGAATATGTTTTGTAAGGGTCAGCTGATTATAGATAAACCTTTCCCCAGAGAAGAAGGTCACTGTTCTAATTACACTGCTTTAATGGGGTTTTGACTTGGCTGTTGTCAGCAGTTGGTTCCAGATGGGTCGGGAACTATTTTTGCTGCATTCTTAGTGCTTGCAAAGATAAATAAGCAACGGGAGCAGCTTTATGAACAGCAAAGATAACATTTTATATAAACATCCCAAGGTACAGAAAGCTATGTAAATAGAAAGATACTGGTCCCTGACCAGTCTCTGTGCCAGTACCTGCAGGTATTTGTAGGGCACTTTCTTACTGAGATGACTAATAAGGCAAACAGGTGGGAAACTTTCCTGTGAGGGTACCTGTGCATAATCCTTTTGTGTCCATGCTGTGCATTTTGCAGAGGACAGGGGGGTGTTTTGCTGGCTCAGAAGAAATTATTCTTTGTGTGTTATGTCTTACAGAGAGATGTAACATCTTACAGGTGAAAGAGGGTGAAAGAGAAAAGGACATTTACAAAGCTACGAGAGAAAAAAATACAAAGGGGACAAAAATTTCCCATTCCTCCTCAGTATTATAATAGAAGGACAGATAATAAATAGCCCTAGCTGGAGAATGTAAGGCTTTGAAAAAATGATCACCATAAAGTAAAAAAGATATAGATACAAACTTGAAAACACCCAGGAAAGGAAGGGGCAGATTACTCTTTAACTGATCAGTAGACAGTCCAGCAGGGTTTTCTTCCTTCCTTTCTTTATTTTTTTAATAAGCTTAGAAATAGTATAATAAATGTGTTCTCTAATAAAACCTCACACAAAGTTTAAATAAGTGACTTTTCTGTGTAGGTGATCTAGCTACATTTCATGAAAGCCACTTATATCGTGATGATAGTACCCTTACCAGTGACCCCAAGAAAAAATAGTATAGCTTCACCTCTTTTATCTAGATTTGTATGGGTGCTTACATTAGGGATTTTAGTAGGTGAACTAGAACCCAAGATGAATTTGCACAATTTAAAAATTAATAAATTCTTTGGCAGCTCTCATTTTCATATTACAGAAATTGTTAAAAATGCAAAGTGTTTAAAGCTATTTTCATCGGTGTTACTTAATCCAAGTAGTATTCCTTTGCATCTCTGTCTTTATCTTGGAGAGGGAAAAGTGTAAGGGACACAAAAAATTTAACATGTAGCTGTTGCCATAGATTTTATGTAGAAGTTGATTGTAAGCTGCATTGATTACTGCCAGCACAAAACCCCTGGACAAATTGAGTAAGATAGAAAGCGTGCTATGTTAATATTTCTTATGCCTTCAACTCTTCTCCCCAGACAATTTTAATGAAAAATGATAGTTTAGTTCTTTGTTTTGATCATTATTTTTTTCCTGATGTGTTGGCTTGTTCTTGCAGGAGCAGCTTAATGTCGACAGTATGGGGCATCAGGTGATAATATTTGACTTTTCTGTCATAAGAGGACTGTGGGAAACTCGAGTTAAGAAGAACAAAGAACGTCAGAGGAAGGAGAAAGAAAGATTAGAAAAAAGTGCATTGGAGAGGTAAAGCCAACTTTTGTGCTGCTCATTTTAACTAAATCCATTCTTATTACCCACTAACACTGTCATGTACTAAGTATTACTCGATGATTAAAATTTTGCTTTTTGGGTTCAGTTTCAATGATTTCTCACCTCCTTTCCTCAGAGGATTGTCAGAGAAATACAGCACAAACTGTTCTTGTATTTCCTCAATCCCTGCTCTTTTCCAGTGTAGATTGGGATTTACCAATCGTGTATTTTATTGTTTAGTTGACTCAAATAGAAGAGAAAAATAACACATTTTGTACCTTTCTATTTCTTATATGCTGTATAAAAGTATAGCTTATTAATTATGGAATTCATGAAAACATGCTCATTTCAGTATTAAGAAATACTTAAATTCTTTTTCTTGAGTTAAGATGGGAACCAAAAGGAATTAAATTAATTGGCACATTCAATTGCTTGTGAATAGGAGATAAAGAATAGAATAAAAGAATTTTTAGTGGTTTTTTTTTTTGAGGTATTAAATATGTCCTTGATTATAATGCTTATGTCCATTAATATTTTTATTGTTTTTATTACATTTAATTTATGGTTTCCTTAAGAAATATTTTGCTTCTCCTAAGACACTGTTGAATATTATACTGGATATATGAATATATACTGAATATATACTGAACATATACTGAATATGTTGGAAACTTATGACTTATTTTTCTTCCTTCAAGAAGAGAAAAAAAGAATAAAAATCCCTTTCTACTTTAAAAAATAAAATGCACAGGGTTAAACAGTGCCCTTTCTTAAGAGTATCATTGCATTGAACCTTCATGTGGTGTTTTGGTGATCTCAGTGGACTCCTACTCATAGATTCTGTCACTGCCAGTGCAGCTACACTGACAACACAGCTGCTGGTCTAAGAGGAGATTTAACACAAGGTCTGACTGTCCTTTCTGCAGGACATTTCTCTTCAAGACATCTGCAGTAGCACTCTTGGTTCTTCCATCTCTACCAAAGCCTGAATTAAAAACCGTAATCCTAACAAGGAAAAAGGAAAAAGGAAAAAGGAAAAAGGAAAAATAAAAAAGGAAAAAGAAAAAAGGAAAAAGAAGAAAGAAGAAAAAAGAAAAAATAAGTTCATTCCACAGGTTGAATTCTCTAGCAAGACCTTTCTTTTTGGTCTGAGCTCTGTCCTGGTTTCAGGATCGAGTTAGTTTTCTTCTTGGTAATTGGTGCAGTGCTGTGGTTTGGATTTAGTATGAGAATAATGTTGATGTAACACTGATGTTTTGGCTGTTGCTAAGCAGTGCTTATGCCATGTCAAGGACTTTCCAGTGTCTTATTCTCTACCAGTGAGGAGCAGCACAAAGAGCTGTCAGGGAGCACAGCCAGGACAGCTGACCCAAGCTGGATATTCCATATTCTAGAACATTATTCTCAGTCTATAAACTGGTGGAGTTGGCTGGAAGTGACTGATTGTTTCTCAGGGATGGTTTGGGTATTGTTCAACGGGTTGTGAACAGTTGCATTGGGCATCACTTTTTCCTCTTGGATTTTATTTCTCTCTCTCTCCTCTTCATTATTATTATTGCCATTAATATTAGTAATATCTTTATACTTTTCTTTGTTTCTATTATTAAATTGTTCTCATCTCAAAAAGACTTTTACCTTTTTTTTTCCTGATTCTTTTCCCCATCCCACCAGGGAGCTGGGGAGTGTCTGTGTCTTGGTTACTGTCTGGAGTTAAACCATGACAGCTGGGAGATGGATGTTTCCTGTTTCCCTTATGGTGGAAAAGACAATTGAAAGGATTTGGGATGAAACTTGATCAAACCTTATTTCTGTTCCAATGTGGACAACCTCTCAACACCCCTCTGCCACAGTTTTTTTTTTGTTTTAGTTGTCTGTTGTGCAGAAGATAACTTTTGAGTTCTCCAGTAAAAAAGCAAATCAGGATCTAGGAATGGGCAACTTCTCATGTAAGAGGGAAAGAGGGTAACCTTATGTGCTCTGAGGTAGCTAATTTGAGCTCCCATGTTTTTAGTCAGTGGCACAGGTTAAGACTAATTTCTTTGTCTTTTCCATAAAACCAATGTATTCTCCCTGCCTTTTCTGCCTGTGGTTATTTGTCTGTAGCCACCCTTCCACCTGAAAGAAGGGAGCTTGACTGCTTGCTCTGACCTTTTCTGCTAATGGGGTCCAAAGTCATTCTGTTCTCTTCCTGTACCAACTGGAGATGGGGAATTTGAGATATAATGCCCAGAAGTAAAAGGGCTGAAGTGCACTGGCAGCACGCAGGGAGGGTTTTTGTTTTCTTCCTTTAAATTGCAATTTGCCTGCTGTGCTTTGGATGGTTGTGGACCTTCATGCTCTCAGATTGCTTTGAGTTAGTTCTACTTCTAGAGCTCCTGGGAAAAAGGAGGAAATACATTTAGGTTTTGTCTCCTGAGTATGAGTGATCAGTGTTTCATCCCCTGTGATGAATGGCAAAGTCCATATTCATCCTCATAGAATAGACAAAGCTGGCAGAATAACAAGCAAAGTAATATGAATATTAGTAATAACATGCTAAATTCAGTTAAAAGAAAATCCTCTTTTTTTTATGAAGTGTGCAGTGACCACTGGCATTTAGGTCCTGAATGTCAGATCACAAGTTATTTCTTAAGTGCTTTCCAGTGCTCTCAAATGCTGGGCCAAAAATATGACAAGACTTTGCTTGTTGTTGTCTTGAAAGTATAGATAAAATTTTAATTAGGATTAAATACCTAATAGAAATAACGTTTTCCTGTATAAATACATTTACTTATTTTATGGAGTTCTGTGGGTAACTAAATTCTGGTATAAAACACTCAGAGATTGCAATTCTAGTATTGTCAGGGAGGCACACTGAAATCAATGTTAGTACACACTGTGTCACAGTAAGAGAGTGTTTTGTAAAGGATTTTGATCCCAAGTGATATTTCCAAAAAGGCATTTAAAAAAGGCAGTTAGATGCCCCAGATGAGGACTGCATTCTAGTATTTAAGCTTCTAGATATCTACTTTTGCCAGCAGCCAGAGTGAATTCCTAAGTAGAGCTGAAATTAAGAGACTTTCTCTGCAAATAGACCCATGTAACAGATGAGTTTGCCATCTGGCCTTCTGAGGCTGCTTTGTTTTCCTCTTTTTTTTTTTAAACAAGTTTTTCTCGAAGTTACAATTTGCCAGTGCCCTTGAGATTGCACAGGTCCTTTATAGCCATGTTGCCATGTAAAATGACCTAATAATTTGTAGTGAAATGTAGTATCTATTATTTGAGAACAAACTCCAGTTAACCTCTAGGGAATCTGCTTGCCTTGGGGCAAGGCAACTTGCTTCATGCAGAATCAGTGAACAGTCACATGCAAGATATTTTTTTCTGGAGATTTTCTTAGAGAAAAAAGTCTCACAAATTAATAAAAAGCTTAAACTCTGTTTGCATTAACAGTGAGCTCTTGTAAAGATTTTTGGGAATTTACAGATCTAGAGGAGAGGTTGAAGTAACTGTCCAGTGAAAGCTGATTCTGGAGAGCCAATAACTGTGAGAGGTTCATATCTGGCCTTCTGAGGTATTGGTATCACACAATTTTGTGTGGAATTAATTCAATCCTCAGTTTTCCCCGTGGTTTTGTGGGACTGTGGAAGTATGGCAATTCAAAGAACACATGCAAACCAGCAGCCAAATATAAAAGAAAAAGAAATAGAATGGTGTTGTACAGGTTTAATTTCATTTTACTTCACATTCTTGATCGATCAGACAAGCCCATACTAAATCTCCCATAGGATACGAAACACAAACTGTTACAAAAAATGTGCACTGTACTGAGGTTATCTCTGTGTTTATGAAACTGCATATTATTGGAGGAAGTTTGTGTTCATAGCAGTGTTTTATATTTAATCTTCTTGATTCTGATAGTGGGGGACAGTCTTATATTGTATCCTGAAACACTGAGTGTTGTCAGGTTAACTTGGTGTGGTATGATGATTTTCCTCAATAAGTTTTCCTTTCTACTTTTTTTTTGAGGGAGTGAGAGTGAAAGTTTACAGTTAGATTTTTTTTTTTTTTTAAGGATTGTGACATGTTTGTCTTCTGTGTGAAAGCAGGTGAGATAAAACTGGAGGCTAACAAATTAAGCATTCAAGTGAGGAAATGCCAGAGCTGTTTGCCCAGATTAGCTATCTAAAGCTATGCTGTGAAAAGGCACAGCCTCTTCTGTCCACTAACAAACATGCAGCAATGATAAAAGTTTGTTCAGCTACCTCTTCCAGTGTGTATCTTCTCCAAAAATTTCCTCTCAAAGCCTGGCTGGCTAAATGTGCATGTAATTATTTTTCTGAGTTATGCACTTCCTGAATGATAAAAGTAAAAAGTAAAAATCAAAAAATAAAAAGCAAAAAACAAACTACACTCTACAGGCAGACAGTGACTTTTTTTTCCCTGAGAGGTTACGTGTTCATTTAATAAAAAAGATTTGTCTCTATCTCTCTGCCAGACTTCAAGTTTGTACCTGAAATAAGATTTTATTTGTGATGTTTATTCTCCTACCTAGTTTAAAACTCTTTCCCAGCAAGTCTAAAACTTTGTCCACAAGTCCTTTGTCCACAAACACAAATTATAGACAACAAACTGGGATTAGATGTGCAGCACTAATAAGCACTTTGTTTTTAGGCAGCTGGGCATACAGACCTTGCATGTAAAATAATGCACAAAAGTGTGTTGTGAGGTAAAAGCTGTTGTTCAGCCACAACCCTTTACAACCCATGGAAAAGCCTGGCAATGAGGTTGAAATTAAATCAATTCAATTGAGTTTGAAGCAAATGTTACTCATCCATCAGGGATATTGTTTTGGGCTGAGCTCCAGTTTGACTGTGATGGTATTATAACAATTCCATGGGCTTATTTAATGATCCTGCGTGGCTGGTGATTCCTAAACTGGTGTCACCATGTCCTGGCCAGTTCGTCCATCCTGATTTAGAGTAAATAGTGCCATCTAACGAAACTTCCTTTCT